ATATAGTCAACAGAAATGTATACAGATATTCACCAAAAGACATGTACAAAAATGTGTGCAACACCACTATGCATAATAGCCAAATGCCCAACAACAGTAAAAGGGATTACAAAATTTCAGTCTACCCACATGATGGATTATACAACCAGGAGAGCAAACTTTAGCTATGTGCAACCATATGAATGAATTTCACAATTACAATGTTGAATGAAAGAGGCCGAGAGGAAGAGTATATACTGTATGATTCCATTCATATAAAGTAAAAAAAAAAAATGGGCAAAATTAGAAAACAAGAGAAAAGTTACTTTTGTGGGGGACTATGACTGGGATGGAGAAGGGAACTTCTGGGTGCTATCTTTGGGGTGCTTCTTTTTATGGGTGCTCGTTACAGGGGTGTGTTCACTATGTAAAAGTTCTTTGAAAGCTACATTTCTGATGTGTATGTCATTAAAAATATATACATTTTAAACAGAATATGCCAGATCCATTAATTAGTGAGAGAAAGGAGGAGGGTGGGAAGAAAGGAGGGAAGGAGAGAAGGAAGGGGGGGGGAGGGAAAGAGGGCAGAAGGAAGGAAGAAGAAAAAAAAGAAAAGAAAATAGGAAAGTTGGGGTGAGTATAAAATAAGTAAAATGATGTAAGAGAATAGATCTTAAAAGTTCTCGTCACGGGGCTGGCCCTGTGGCTTGGGGGTTAAGTGCGCGCGCTCCACTGCTGGTGGCCCAGGTTCGGATCCCGGGCGCGCACTGACGCACCGCTTGTCCAGCCATACTGAGGCCGCGTTCCACATATAGCAACGAGAAGGATGTGCAACTATGACACAACTATCTACTGGGGCTTTGGGGAGAAAAAGGAAAAAAAAGGAGGATTGACAATAGATGTTAGCTCAGAGCTGGTCTTCCTCAGCAAAAAGAGTAGGATTTGCACGGATGTTAGCTCAGGGCTGATCTTCCTCACACACACACACACACAAAAAGTTCTCGTTACAAGAAAAAAAATTTGTAACTACGTGAGGTGATGGATGTTAACTAAACTTATTGTAATCATTTTATAATATATACTATATCAAATCATTATGTTGTACACCTAAAACTAGTACTATATCATATGCCAATTATATATCAATAGAATGGGAAAAAAATTTTTTAAAAAGTGAAATAACAAGGTGGCTGGTTAATCTGTTTCCTTCTCTCAGTACTGCCAGGCCTTTGGGTGAATATGAAATTAAATTTTGTTCCCAGTTTTCTCCTTAAACGCCGAGAAGCTGAGACTATTTTCCTTGGTTACCAAGTTAAATTTTTGTTGAATTTTATGGAACTGAACAGAGGGGATCTGGCCACCATGCCAGCAAAAAAAAGTTAATGAGGAAACGATTGAGGCTTATGCTGTACCGTGATTAACTCCAGATTTTGAAAATGATCTTCAAACCAAAGAGAATGAGGCAAACAATTCCAAGATTTGCAGGAAACCGACTCAAAAACAACTCATTTTCTACTGAGTGGCTATTGAAATAGAAGCTGATGAGACCAGAAAGCAAATGCCAGCTCGTCAAGGCCATGGCTTCCTAGGGTTTAACTAACAAAAACCTGAGAAAGAGCAAGCACATTACAGAATTGTTACGAGATCCAAAGAGCCCCTCCAGTGATCATATATTAACTCCTCATCCATGTCCAGGAAATCTTCACATGGACAATGAAAACTCACAGCTGTTTTTCTCACCAAGAGGAAAGAGCAAAACTACTGTTCTTCATTGTCTTCCCTTCCACCCCCTCTGCATCTAATTGTTTGAGTGAATTTGAGTGCTGCAGTATTAATGGAAAAACAATGCCCAGCTTAAAAACAAAGGCTCTTACTACAATGCATTCTGGGAAAAACTTAATAGAACAGAAACATTAAGGAATTTATTATATCCTTCCCCACACCACCAACACACACCATTTTAAAAAGAGTGCTTGTTATTTGAACATCTTAGAACCTAAACACCTTACCTATTACATGGAAAAGAGCATATAAGAAAAAAAAATGCTATTATATTTAGCCTAAAAGAATTTTAAACCATGCTCTAATTATCATAATTAGACTCAATTACATGAACTTGAGAGTTCTCACTCAGCATGCTGATATGGCATGATGATAAAACTGCTTATTCTCTTGGATTTCAGCCAAATCCTCAATATTGAGGATGTGCCTATGATTCTCAGAACTCGTGGTCCCGGTGCTTTGGCATTACAGATAACACCCCACGACCCGTGGGGTATCAAAAAGGTCTTCAAACTTGAGCTGAACATCTTACATCTGAGTACTGGGTCCAAGTTACTATTCCAAGAGTGTGAAATACAAAACTGTAACGAGCCTATTAGAGAGGAACTTTCCCATGTTCCTTTCTTGCCCTGTGGTAGATGGAAGTTAAAGTCACGGGTAACTGCGTCAACCACACTGCAAACTTGGTGACTATCATTACCTCATTACCTGGTTACTTTTTTCAAGCACAACATCTGTTAGTCTAGACCTACAAGCCACTCACTCCAGGGGCTGGGCCACTAAGTGGTGGTTGGGGAAAAAGTTAGGGCCATGTGGCCAGGCCGGGGTGCACAGGAATTCTGAAGTGCCAGCAAGACTTTAATTCCCCATTGCACGACAGTGACAGAAATTCAAGCATAAAGAAGTATTGGTTGCTCACTCGCTATAGTAGGGCAATGCTACAGTTAGTTTATCAGTAACCTGTAGGCAGGCAGCGGGGGTGGGTGGGCAGCATTGGTAGGTCTGGCCACCAATGCCATGTGCAGCTACAGAGAACCTCTAGGCCAACTCTGATCCACTGGGCTGTGCATCAGGATCAGCTCCTGGAGGGCTTGTTAAGACAGATGGCTGTGTGTAGCTACAGAGAAGCTCTAGTATTTTTCTTGGTGGTTCTCAAATTTTAATGTGCCTGATCACCTGGAGATTTTCTTTAAAGTGCCTATTTTCAAAGTCTATTCCAAGATTCTGATTCAGTTGGGAAAGCATATGGTCCAGGAATCTGCATGGTTTTTTGTTCTGTTTTTATAAAACAAGCTTTCCTTGTGGTTTTGACTCAGGTTGGCTTGGCGACATTATGGAAACATTGCTCTGTAGTTGGTCACCTGGAGCACGGTGGCTCTCCCTCATTTCCAGAGGGGTCAGGTTATCACTGCTCTCCCCAGGGATGAACGTGAAGGGCTTCCAACAAGAAAATGGCTGCCTCTGAAGGGCAGTCAACTCTAACCTCAGGATTGAAAACCAGGGTTTAATATTCTATTTCTAAGCTGAAAATCTCTAAATAATTGCTTTTAGCTTTCTCCCTATGGAAAAGAAAGGAGGTATCACCACATACATTCGAAGCACTAAGAACTCTCACTTCCAATAGTATTGTTCCAGGATGCTCTCCCCATTGGCCAGCTTGGTTTAGGAAAGTCTAAGGAGGCAAATTTCACCTTGGTACACAATGAAGGTTTTTTGCTAAAATTCAGAAAACCTTTTCTACCAAGTAAAGTCACAACCCACCTACAATGAATTGCATGACCAGAAATTATCAAAGATTTCGGTGATAAGACTATACACGATGGATGTATACACAAAAATATTCTTATTTAAAACTACTTTGTAGAGATGTTTTTAAATCTTTGAAGAACACCTACTATAAGTTTGAGATTAAATGGTTTCTGTATTGGAAATACAACTTTGGAAAATACCTTGTTGCTAATGGCTATTGTGGCTAATTATCACAATGAACAATCTGCAAATAAGGTACTTGGGAAAATTTAACAAGTAGACCCATGGAATACTAGTCCTCTCCATGCTGGACTTAAACTTCCATTCAGGAAACAACCCAATGATGATCAGCAGGGGACTGGATAAATACATTATAGTGCGTCCATACAACAAAGAACATGCCACTGTAAAAACAATGAAGAGCTAAAAAGGCAAAGTAAAGAACAATGTCTATAATATATTAGCTTTTGTCTACTAAAGCAGGAGGAAGATAAGAATTCATATTTTCATTTCCTCTTGTAAGCATATGCATAAAGTAATGCAAAAGTAACTAAAAACAATGGTTACCTTTTGGTGGGCATGGGAACCAAGCAGATGGGTGACTGACGAGATGGAGAATTTGTATTATATATTATTTTATACTCATTTGTATGTTGAACAATGTGGAAGTATTACATATTTTTTAAAACGTTTTTGAAAAATACCTCTCAGTTCCAAATTCCTACTCACCTTTTTTGGGAACCATCAATCTACCATTGTAGGTACCTTGCTGGAGGAGACTGAAAGAAAGTAACTGTATCCTCCACCTGTACCAATAAACACAAAGGCTTCTGGAAATTTCTTTATGGGAGCAATGTTTTTAAGTACAACAGTTAAAAGAAAAGCCCCAGAATATACTTTCAAAGAATGTTTCTGGTTTATAAAAGATAAGTGAAATTCAATTACACAGAGAACATTTAATGTTTGGATTGTAAAGCCTTTCTGTGCAACAATACATTGACACACAACATGAGAAAATAGCCCAAAATACAAAAATACAGTTGTGATCCAGGAAATGGCACCAAATAGAACAGTTTTATTATTTAACATACCAATGTATATACATTATCCTCCCAAATAAGAAAGAATTTGATTCCAAAGTTTAAAATGTAGTTTCCAAAATGAATCCTTATTGTAAATTTGAAGAAGAAAAAAAAAAGTCCTGCAAATTAACACAAACCATTTTGATCCTTGACTAAAATATGCACCCTGCACCAATCACCTCTCTCATACAAAATGTATATTATAAATAAAACTTGCAAAAAAGATCCTGGATATTTATTGCACATCGTACAGAACGCTTGCCACTCCTGGAAAGGCTTTCAGCCCTTCACTGTATTAGCTGTTTCAAATATTTACTCAAATTTGGGCGAAAACAACACTCTGCAGATATTAGCATATGTAGGATCATACATGATGTTTACCAAAAACGGGAAAATATAATCTTACTGGACTGTTTCTGTCACTTTTTCTAAAATATGATTGATTCTGTTTTCTACCGTTAAAAGCAATTACAGGAGATCTGACCAAATTAAAAGTCCTGCTCAGTTATATATTTCTACTTCCTAGGACCAGCCCTTCTTGAAGTATATATTGCTAAAGACCATACTACAGAATTCCTAATAATGCTGTCCATCATCAACAGCCACTTTTTTGGTCTCAACATTTTCAAACTCTCTTTGCCTTAGTAAAGCCAGCACAAACCAACCAGAATGCAATGGCCTTAAAAACAAAAAAAGGTTCCTAGTAAGTCTTCATACCATCTAGCACAGTGCCTAGCACACAGTAGGCATCCAATAAATACTTGATGAATGAATGCACTATCTTTTAAGACCATTTCCTATACTTAGATGTATTAATGATTTATGAGTAATATGTTGATTTAGGGTACACAGACCTAACATGATCACTAAACAAAGAACACATATGACATGGCACAGACAATGTTAGTTTCTACAATCCTGCCCCAGGACAGAATGTGTACTTTAAGGGTTAAAACTATTCCAATAATAAAAATTGATTAGTCAAATATTTTTATTTTGCCAAGGGACTCTAACAGTATTAGCCTTTGGCAATTCCCAAACATACAATGAACCCCAAACAAAAGGAAACCAAATTGCACTATAACAAAGACATGAGTCCATGAAAGCAGAGAGGAGGTGCCAGTTAAGGAACTGCGACTTCAAGGAGACGGTTGTTTTTTCGTTTGCACGTTGGGACACTCCCATTCTTCTGGCTGCCCTGAATAAACTTCACACATACTTTGTCCTGTCTGAACTGCACCAGGAACCTAGGAGAAAAGAATAGGACAAATTGAAGAGAAGTACACACAAAACAGCTAATGATTACACTAACACTTGATATTGACCTTGACAAGTATTCCCTCCCATTAGCACTTCTATACACAGAATTACGTCCTCAGGTTCTAACCTGCATTTTACTTCCCGCAGTCATCATTTAGCCCTAAGTAAACTGAAGATCATTAACTCATCATATCCCAAAATAAGGTATTGCCGTATTTCAAATGGGACGACCAACATGCTATTTTTCCATAGCAAAAATATAGACTGGGGGAGGGGTCCTATTAAATTATCAACGAATTGAGAAAATGAAATAAAGAATTTCAGAAAAGGAAGGGGTCTAGAGACCCTCCAGACTATGGTTTCGAAACACTACCCACATACTTCCTACACAATTTTTGTCATATCCATACACTATGCTAATAGTTATTTTTAGCCTAAATAAATGTATTTCAAAACAGCTGTGACCTATGGAAACATAATGATAAAATCACAAGTTTGATCTGCCACATATTTTTAATACCCTTTAAAAATATATATATGTAAAACTATAAGAATTTAAAAATCTATTGGTGTACACCTAAAGCCACCTCTTCTCCTACCACTGGTACACGTGGTTCACTGTGGGAAACCATATTCTTGTCTAAGTCTTTCCTTTCACAGACTAGGACAGGTGCCTGTTCACAGGATTATTCATCACACCTTCCTACAACAAACATACCACCGGCTTCCCCCTGGGCTGGGTGCTTTGAGGAACACCAGGGTGGAAAAAATGAGGTCCCTGGCCTCAAGAACAACATCACCGCGGAGGCAGGCGAGTGGCATGGTTGGACCAGACAGAACCCAGGCTTTCCCACATCAAAGCCAGTGCTCTTTCCTCTCCACCATCACAATCAGTGTAATGGCACCACGTTTTCAGTATGTTTCTCATACTGGCCTATAACTGAGCTACTGCAATAAAATTAAGTGAGTCACTCTCACAGCCACATGACAGATCACACGCTCGCTGGCATACACGACAACAGCAAAGATCGAAACAGCTCTGTTCTGTACACATTAGCTCAAAGTCTAAAGAGCCCACATTTTACAAACATTATCTACTGGAGGTAAACGTGACACAAGCTTCTGATTCATCGGTTGTTGAAACACGACAGGACTTTTGAGCTTTTAAATGGGTTGTTTCTTTTCAACTTGAAAGATTGAAAAAAAAGCCATAGTTCTAAATTACCTATCTAAGATATCTCCCCGACATATATACTTAAACCCATGTGTCCCAAAGAAAATAAAATCTTTCAAGTTTAACGCAAATACACATACTTAAAAAAATCAAATATTGTTATATTTTAATTTTCAAAGACCATTTGTAGTACAATAAATGTATAGGGAATTTTTTTCCCAATAACTTCAGCAAACATTGGCTGCCTCCATGTTCACAATTCATGATCACAATTCACTTTGGAAATAAGAATAATAGCTAAAATTTATTGAGTATTGACCATGCGTCACACTGTTCTTAGTGAGTTCCATGTATTAACTCAACTTTAAAACAAACCTATGAGGTAAGTACTATTATTTCTCTCTATTTCATAGAAGAGAGAACTGACGCACAGCCCACAGCCAGGACATGGAGAATCAGAGAATTATCCTCCAGCAAACAATGTCGAATGCATTATTTCACAGCATCAAGATCAGTGAAAACTTCACAGCAAAAGGAATGTAGATCAGTTGTTTGGATTTAAAATATTCAGAAATACAACTGTATAACTTAAATGATATATGTGTGTGCATGTATTATGAGTACATGTGAGTAAACATGTACATATACATGCATGAATATTTCGAAAGTTTAACAGAACGTATTCACTTTCATTTTCAATATATTCAGGTCTTCATTCTTAGAATTACCATACATCTTATTTAAGGTTATCCTTAATGCAATCTGTTTACAGACTGAACACTGTGGGAGTTAAGAACCGAGAATTACAACGCAGTTGAGTCTCTCCATGAATTCAATTCTCGCTTCTACCTGTGCAGGTTAAAACCGCTCTAAGCAGTAAACAGGACTTTGACTCGCCTCCTGTAAACTGACATCCAGTTTATCCGTAACGATCATGGAGACTGGCTTTGTTAGAATAACTACGTCTACTTCTGAAAAGGATGCACTAAGGAAGGTTTTGGTCACTGAACTGCATGCTGTTTACAACACTAGTCTGTACAGCTGGCAATGAAACAGACTAAAGCCACTAAGGCCTGAGAAATACATCACGGGCGCCCCTGCCCATGACTTTGTAAAATTTGGTTTAAATTTAAAATGCTCTCCAAGGAGGTGTATAATCCCTGCTTAAGAGGTTACGAAACAGAGGCTACATGGGCACCATGCTCTGCCATGTAGCTTCCCGTGCCGCCTGGACAAGGGACCACGGGTGCTATGCAAGGTTCCAGCAGCTATTTTATTTTTATGAGACCAACCAATAATCAGGAATTGGAGGAGGAAAGGTGTTATGGACTGGTTTATAATGCTAATAAATGCCTGTTTTCTTCACGTGGCCATACTGTTGATCTTCACTCAGACAAGCATGTTTACTGAAAGCTGACACATCCAGAACACCACAGCTCTCTCTCGGGCAAGGCAGGGTCCCCGCTGCCCAGAAGCAAATGATCCCCATCAGTCTTCCGCGATCGCGTGCCTCGAACACAAACCGTTAGAGCCACCGGAGGGTTCTGTGGTTGATTATGTTTGAGAAACACAGCACATGCTATCCCCCAAACCCCTCCGGAGAGTCATAATGTGCAACAAGACTACAGAGGCTCTGAGAAGTGCAGCAGTACAGAAGACTGTAAATTTCCTCCGGAGAACACTTTATTCACAGCACATCATTATTAGCATCCTGCAGAGGCAGTGTTCTTAGAATACCAGTTTGGGAAATGCGTAAAAGTAGCACTCCTTCCTGGCCTGGATGTTGGTGTGATTTTTTCGGCAAAGATGGCCTTATTAATGTAGTGGGATAACTACGAGGCTACTTCATTCATTTACCAAGGGGCTTTTGCACCTGGAATACACAAAATCTGCCCAGGAAGAGTGGGAATTACCAGTCCCACCAAAACAGAAGCCCAGCATCCCAAGTTATGAAAAATTTCACCTAGAGGGAGTTTAAAGCTCTAACAGGCCCTTACAGGTTAAAACCTTAATTGACTGAAACCCAACTAGCCATTATCTCTTTCCCTAATATTCTTTGTTTATGAGAAAAGACTCAGTAACAAGAAGAGTGATTTAGTCCAAACTGCAATTTCCCATGGAGAGTCTACTTAAAGGGCCATCTTGCATCCAATCTAAACCCCAATCCCAGTGTACAATGAGAAGAGACACTGACCTTAAAGTTCTGTACACCCTAACACATCAAGGAGAGTTAGTTTGGCTTACAAAGGGATAGGAATGGTATGAATTTATTTTAGAAAGGCTTTTAGGAAGCACTGAAATAGAATAGACTGGCAAAATTTTAATTAGAAAATATAATAATTTCCTGAGCATTCTGGTTATGCAAGTTTTTACTACACATGCAAAGAATTACATAAGCAGATAGTAAACAATCTATTGAAAAGTAACCAATTAAGTATCAATCAACAGAGTAACTCAAATTCATTAAAATGCATTAATATCGATGGATTTCATAAATGGGAAGATGCTCCATCCTACATGCAAATAATGTCTCTATAATTAGAGCCCCATTGTGAAGTAGAAAAAGTAAATTTCACATTTACAGCAGTCTCAGCACTAATGGAATGCTTATTCTCTAACTCTAGTCATCTCGATGCGAAAGTCATCTCAAATACCATACATCCCAACAGCACCCTTGATTTCACCTCGCCCCCGCCGCCCCCAACCCCCTTCCCTCAGGGTCATTTACTGCAGTAAATGGCACCACCAGTTGGACTCAGGCCCAAAACCTAACACCCAATCTGTCAGTCAGTCCTCTTGTCTTCCTTTAAATCACAATCGGAATCTGACTACTTCTCACTGCCTCCCACTCACACCCCAGCCGAAGAGCATCCTCCTTGCAGGAGCTCCTGTTCTCTCTGCTTCCACTCCCGCCTCCCTATAGTTATTCTGCACATTGCAGCCAAATTGAGCTTTGAGAATCATAAATCAGATCATGCCACACCCTCGCTCAAAACATAAAATGGCTTTCCATCACCCTCAGGAAAATCTCAACTCCTGACCTCAGCCACCAAGCTCTACACGGCCAGGTCCCTGCCTCTTTCTCTAGGTCGCTCTCTCTCTTTTTTTTTTTGTTGAGGAAGATTGGCCCTGAGCTAACATCTGTGCCCATCTTCCTTTATTTTATATGTGGGACGGCTGCCACAGCATGGCTTGATGAGCGGTGCATCAGTCATGCCTGGGATCGGAACCTGTGAACCCCAGTCTGCCGATGTGAAGCACGCGAACTTAACCACTATGCCACTGGGCCGGTCCCTTTCTCCAGGGTCTTTTCCTCCCATTTCACTCTGCCACAGAGTTCACTCCTGCCTCAGGGCCTTTGCACCTGCTGCCTCTCTGCCCTGGAAGATATCTCCCTAGATTGCTGCCTGGCTCAATCAATTCCTGCCTTCCTTTGATTCCTGTCTCGACTGAAACGTCACTGCATCCAAGAGGGCTCTCTGACCTCCCTATCAAAAATGACACCCTCCGACCCTTACCTTGCTTTTTTCCCTCCACAAGCACTTGTCACTAATCAAAGTCATAGCACCTGTGTATTATTTTATTTGTGCATATTTTTCTCTTCCACTTAGATGTCAGGCACATGAAGGTGGGGATGTGGTCAGTGTCATTCACCCAAATCCATAAAACAGAACAAATACAAACACAGACTCGGTTACTTAAGGAGTGGCTGGATAAATGAATGAGGTTGGATTGCTCAACTAAAACAATAAAGCTGAAAGTGAAAGGTCTATTCAAGCAATTCGTGAACATACTCATCGGAAATCTCAATATTGAGCTTCTGTTTGGTTTGGCTGAGAGTCGTCCGGTAGAGCTTGGTGGCCATTTCAATCAGGTGATCACTGCTGAAGAGAAAGTCTCCTTTACTAGCTGCTTCAGAGCCCTAAAAGGACAAACCAAGAGTCAGACTAGCATAATTAAAGACAGCTCAGGAGGTAAATGTTTAAGATTTGGCTGAAAACGTATTTATAGTCTCTCTAAAACATCAGATACTTGAGTCCACTCTCCCGAATAAACAATGATGACAAAAGCAGTATTTCTTCCAGCTTGCTCAGGGCACTTCAGTAAAGTTACCCAGCCCCTTGCTACCCAAGGCTGGTCGATGGACCAGAAGCACCATCAGCATCACCTGGGAGCTTGTTAGAAAAGCAGAATCTCGGGCCCCACCGCAGGCCACTGCATACAAGTCCACAACTAGGTCCCTGGGTGATCTGTTTGCACGTTCAGGTTCAAGAAGCACTGACCTAACCTGTAACTCGTTCTGAAAGGGCTGTTTAAAACAGTCCTCAGTGATTTGGTTTAAAAACTAAGAGCAACAACAACACTTCCAACAAATATCCTAGGGCAGCAGCTCTCAACCCTAGCTGCACAGGGACTCATTCGGGAGCTTTCAAAACATCAGATGCCTGTGGCCCATTCCAAGAAGCTGTGACTCGACTGGACTGGTAGAACGGCCTGGGTGTCAGCGCCGAGTTAATGTGTCACCGAGGTTGAGGACCACTGTCCTAGGATGTGACACGTCCCCTTTAGGTTAAGAGCCACAGGGAGGAAAACAGGCTGAACTAAGCTTATGGGATGGTCCTAAGTTTAGAATGAGCTAGACAGTGGCACTCTTAGCTAGACGCACGTCTCTAAATATGGTCAATATTTGCTAACATCTGTTTGCTTAGTGACTATTCTGTGACAGGTACTGTGCTGAGCATTTTGCATACAGTGTCTCATTTAATCCTCATAACAACAGCACTGTGAAGTAGGTACATTTTAAAGAGGAGAAAAACTAGGTAAGCACACAAAAATTAAATGACTCGGCCGAGGTTACTGTAAAGTTAGTGAGACCAACCCAGAGCCTACATTCTTAACCACTCGACTCAGGTCAGAAGGTCCTGGGTAGGCTAAAAGCACAGAACACTAAAAAATCTGTAGGTCAAATTACGAGGCAGATGTTTGACTGTAGTTGCATTCTTTAACTGAAAACCACCAAATTAAAGATGAACAAGAAGACATTTGCTAAGTTGGCATACAGAAGGAACAACAGGAGGAAGCATCATTTAAATATCTTGGTATTTCTATGCATGAGTCTCAAAATAATGCGTATCATGGTGAGTGCAAACAAAAGCTACTCAGTGAAATTTGAACTTAAGTGGACAAGTCAATAAAAGTGATCGACCTTATTCAATTATTAAAAAAACCAAGCCTGAGATTTTAATAGGGGTGAATATAGCTAAAATTTGCAAATCAATAAGGATACGTGAATTTCAAGTAACAGGATTATTCAGATGTGGAAAATTTTAAGTCAATCTCTAAGAGATTGCATAAATGCAGAAATCTTTCAGTCAAGTCCATGGTTGAAGCTTTACCTCTTTGAGGTGGACGGCAAAGAAGCCATCGTTTTGTGAGCTCATCGATACTTTGGTCACATCCACCAGGGGAACCTCTGACTTGATCTGTCCAGACTTTTGATCAGCAAGAAGGAGATTATTATTTGTTAAGAGGAAAATCCGGGATGTACTCTAAAATAAAACAAAACAGAAAGGAAGTAAAACCAATGATCAAAAATACCCAAAAATGGTCAATGAGTTTAAAGCATTAGTTATTTGCAGAAATGCACATTTTATTCCAATATCTTTCAGCATGCATACCTATGTATATTGAGAACACACTAAAGAACACAGATAACATATTTTAATTCACAAAAATTTCAGAGAACAAGCAAAATTCTATGAAGCTTTAAAGGTAAGGGAAAATAGCTTCCTTCACAGTAACTCTGCGGAGAAAATGAAATGCATATTTTAATAATCAGAAAACTAAAGATGACTGTCCCACTGATAAACACTTCTAAGAGGTCTTCAGGGGTAGCGTTTTTACCTTCCCATTAGCACGGTTAATTTTGTTCACAACTTCAGCAATGATGATCTTTTCTTCAATGGCATCTTTGAGTTTCTTATACTTGGGATTCTTGTTGATTTCCAGGTACGCCCCTTGGAATGGTTGCCCAACACTTAAGGAAAAAGATTCCCTTGCATTAGAAACGGTTTCAAATGGAAGTATTACTGGAAAAAGGTAACATGTCAGTTAATTCTGAAGAGTATCTGACAACTCATAAAAAGTTAATTTATTTTATATATATTATACATTATACTTGCACCTGTCCTAAATATAAATTGAAAATGGAACCTTAAACCTATTTCAAATATATTTTTGATGTGATCATGGCATTTGGTACATAGGACTTTGATAAAAATCTTATCACATGGAACAATCAGGATAGGAATCACCCACCAGAATGGTAGCCAAGACCCAAGTGCATGGCCTCACGTGAAGGAAGAGGCAATTCCTCCTAATCTGTTAATATAAAGTTAACAGCTGCCCACAAGGGATTTATTAATGCCTTTAAACAATATGTGGCAATGGAAAAAAGAGCACAAATTATTACCATCACCTGCTCCAAAGAAAAATTTCATTTTCTTGCAGAGTAAGAAAATCAATAGGCCTTCCGGGGAAGAACAGATCCAGAGCAACCACTTTAGAAGAAAACTATCGAGCACTTTTTATTACCATGTAACTCTGGTTCTAAATAGGCGATATAGGAAAGAAGAATCAGGCCTCTCCTCCTGGGATATGCCTCTAAATGGAAAGAAGGGGCCAAGGCAAACATTCCGAATCAGAGCAGTTTTCTTTCAAACCAACTACCTCTTACAAGAGGCATAATCATGCACATACACTAAGGTGTCAATTTCCCCAAAGACTTGTGGGGTGACGCTCTCAGGGCAGTTTCTTCAAAGACACCAAGGAAAAAAAAACCTGCAGCTTCATTGAGGGCCATAAAATTGCTATCCCGGCAATTTGCAAATACAACTTTAAATGCTTGTGTTGTGGGTGGAGGATCAGGGAAGAAAAATCCACGTAGGTGGCCAGCGTTTCACAGCTCCCAGGATATAAAAGGCTGAAACCCATAAGGGCTGCCACTTCCCACAATGGTGGGAGGGTAAATTATTCCACCCCTGAGTGCTGTAGGTGAGCATGCCACCAGCCCCGAAGACGGATAAAACTATCCGAAAAGGACTTGGCTTGATGTTAACAATTTTGTTGTTGTTCACATTCAAACATGTTTTTAACAACAAAAAGGACTAAAAGCCTTTGAATTTGTTTCTTAAAAAAATGTATTCTTCTCCCTCTAGTTTCTGAAGACTCATCTACAAAGAATGCTCATTAAGAAGGTTACTCTACAATTCAAAAATATATAAAGAGCTGAATAAAACTGCTTGCTGGAGAAAGCATACAGACAATTTTCCCGTTTGAATATGCTTTATGTAGCAGGCGCTTTGGACAACTCTGGATTTAGATGCTATGTCTGACTTAGAGAAATATACACCACCTCAAGCAGCCAAATCCGCTGACCAAGAAAGCTGTGTCCTTTAAAATATTTCAACTGAATGTGTCTGGCAACTTATGTTTACTCAATCCTTTAAAAGGAAGAGCTTTCAAATGTGGGGAAAGACACATAGAGAATATAAACATACCATATGTAATACATGTGAATATACTTAGCATATAGTGCATTTTTATTTCTAGGCCATTCTTTGGAGAAACTAAAAGCTGTTATAAATTTGGCTTAAGACTGTGGAAGCTACTTTTTTATAAACACCAGACAAAAAACGGATAGCAATTCACTCAACGATGAACTTGGGAGATGTAAGAATATTCAGATAAGCAGTCTTCTCCAAGGATGTCACTTGGCAAACTTGCAATTGGTGTTCCTTTTTTTATGAAGTACTCAGTGTCTACAATAAAAGAACTGAACTGGCGGCACAGGCCCCCGAAGCCATGCCCAGTGAGTCAGCAGACCAAAGGCCACCACCGACTAGTGCTTCAGCAACACTCCAAAGTCATATACTGGCTCCCTCTTCATTTATCTTACAAATGAGGTTCTGACCCCGCTTGTTAAAGTAGGAAGACTGGAACGGCGATTACACTATACTGCCAATAGAAATTGGACTGGTCTCTGAAAACTATGGAAAACTAACGGGAACTGACAATATAAATTTATCTTAATAGCCTATATAATTTTTATTTTAAATGACAACTTCTGATTATTTAGTGACGTGTTTGAGCTACTGCCAACGGAGTAAAACCAACAACTGTAATCTCATTTCATTCAAGGGCACTAGGAAAGCCACTGCTCAAATGTGTTTATGTGTAATCATATCCAGCTGCTCATCAAATAATTCATAAAATTAAAAATCTCTCATGTATAACTGAAATCAAACTCTACTAGAAAAGACCTACAAATACATTCGAGAAACTTTTAAAATACTGACTTTTATGGGTAAAGCAAACCCATAATACCTTGATGGGTACAGGGCCTTCTTGTCTTTGAAGAGTTCACTGGCTTCTAGTTTCTCTTCATAAATAAGTTTCTGCTGGTCTGTGAATTGGTCCCTGTATTTTTTACACTGTGAGATACGAAGAGAAGAAAAAAAAAAGTAAGACATCACTTACATAAATAAGTCATTATTCATTCTTCAATATGCTAAGCCAATTTAACAGCAGCAAGGATAAGAGGAAATGTGTGTGAAATACTCTTTTAAAAGGCCAAAAGCATTTTTCCTTTGTGGGTTTTATTGCTTGTACTGCAGAACTTGAGATACTTCTTCAAGACATACAAGGGCTTTGCTGGCCTGGGCCCTCCTGGGAGTACTGTTCCCTCCCACTGTGACGTCAGCCCTGGACACCCTTCAGTCCTGACGTGGTCACGCTCTTTTACAGAGATTCATAGAAACAAAAACACCATACAACACAACCCAATGCACACATTTACACACACACAGTCAGCTTCAAAAAAGCTTCACGAAACATTACTAACCCTTTCTATATGTCATGTACTCCGTTATTTCCTATTCTGTTGTATTTTGTTTAAAAATGTTGGTAGTAGCCTACTAAATTGATTTCATGACCCACAAATATGCTATATTTGACCTACAGTTTGAAAAACTGCTCCACATCCATCACTACCATTTTACAATGTGGAAGTCTCCTCTTCACCCCAATTCTGAGACTGCACTGAAAGGAGATAGGGGGCAGTGGAGGGGCAGGGCCAGGTTTTTAAGATGAACTCTAAGAAATTCAGTTACAGGTGTGGTTGAGAACCCCTGACGTAACTGTATAAAGGAATGCTAGCATCGCTGCCCACCCCTTCAGGAACAAACACATCCCTCTCACTCTCCACCCCCAAACCAAGGAGGCAGAAGTGAGATTCGGGAGCCAGGGGAGGGGAGAGGCAGAGCAGACCCCTGGCATTAGCAGCTCCCCACTGTTATTTCTGAAAATAGCTTCTATGTCAGACTCAAAAGGGGAGATGAACACTGAAATGTTGGTGAATCTCGTAAAGTTGACTAAGTTAGAGAACAGAACTCAGAGTCCAGTTCCATATGCTGTGCTGGTACCAAGCATCACACCGGTCAGTGACATTATCTATACATACGTGATTCTGGTAAAGAACAAGCCTACGGTGATGGGCAGGAAAGAGTTCTCGGAAGACGTATCCATCAATCACTCACTTGCTGAATACAAGGCCTTCTATCTAATGATTTTATTATACCTGATATTCATATATATTTAGCATTCCATTTATCAACTAAGTTATTGAAATAGTCAATGTCTATACAAATACTCTATCTACCCCACACTGGGCAACACTTAAATTACATGTTATGCTCTCCTATAAAATTAAGTTAGCCAAAATATAAGTCAACATCAAACAGATTTTCAGTTTCCCTGTAATTCAAGTAGAGGGAAATTTTAATCTCTTTAATGTCTTCGGGGGGGACTTGAAAGCTTTGTTTCTAGCCCATCAAAATGTGTCTCTTCACATGTATGTCTCTTTATGTGTTCAATAAATCTTACAAAGTAAACTCATCGCATTTGAGGGATTTAACTACATCGTTTGAAGAGATTCAAATTTTATTATTTTTATCTCCAGTAGTATTCCTTCAGATAAAGATGAAAAAAAAACTGAACTACTGGAAAGCAACTAGGATCTGGAAGGGAAAGACAATGCGGGCACGAGCTCTCCTTTCCAACCACAGATGAGGGGAGACCACCATGGGGACACCTGGCTGCTCCAGGATTTCCTACAGAAAACCAAGTACAGTGCACGACTCAAAAACACCAAAGTCCTCAAATAATTCTCCACGAGGCTTGAGGAAGAATGTGGTAAAAACTTGCTTTTACATAACACTTCTCAAACACTCAAAATGTATGATAAGAAGTCACCGAAAAAATATAACAAGACATTTTTACCCTCCACAAATGGAAAATCCTTTTTAGCTCTTTGTGAGTAGAATCCAAGAATAGGTAAGGTCTCGATGGCCAATTCTTATCTATTGGAGATAAGGATGGCATCTTATTTTTCATTTCCAAGAAGTATTTCTGCATCTGTGTTGGGATTGACAGAACATACCAAATGAGTAAAATATACCAGAAAAGACATTGTTTACAAAACCGGCATTAAACAAACCAGTCTTCCGTGGAATTTAGCAAGTTTTAGTCCATAAAATTTTGTAACTTCTCTGGAAAGTCTCTATTCTACTCTTCATGTTGGTTGGGGAAATCTGAGTTCCACCAAATGGTTAAGAGAAAAGAAGAATACTAACCCTAATATTAATATTAACATTAACACTAATGCCAGCTAACATTAGAGAGCTGCACCATTTAATAGGTAGCCAACTAGTCACATGTGGCTATTTATATTTAAATTTTAAGTAATTAAAAAAAAAAATCCAGTTCATCAGTCACATTAGTTAGACTTCAAGTGCTCAACAGCCACGTGTGGCTAGTGGCCGCTCTATTGCACCACAAAGATATAGAATGCTTTCATCACTGCAGAAAGTTCTGTTGCGAGCACTGCTTAGAGGACTTAATAGGGACCAGGCACTTAACAGCTTTATATCATTTCTCCATTTGAATCCTTACAACAACTCTATCAGCTTAGTGCTATTATCATCCCTATTTTACAGAGGATGAAATGAAGCTCACAGAAGTAACTTGCTCATGTCACAATTCTGTAAGTGGCAGAGCAAGCTGGCTCCAGAGTTTGCATGTTTCACCACTATGTATACTTCTCTGAAAGACAGAGGGAAACTTTAGAATAATCCATCCAGGAAGAGTGGCACGGCCTTGCTCTCCCTTAACCCTCTACCCACTAACTTGTTTGCCAACCTCGCCGTGGAGCAGCTCATGGCAGTTTAGCAGGGCAAGACCTTGGCATTGCCCCAGATTCCTGTGCTGAAACCCTAACCCCCAGTGGGATGAAATTAGGAGATGGGGCCTTTGGGAGGTAATTAGGTTTAGATGAGGTCATGAGGGTAGAGCCCTCACGATGTGGTTAGTGCCCTTATAAGCAGAGACAGAAGAGAGTATGCTTCTCTTTCTCTCTGCCAAGTGAGAAAACTAGCCAGAGGCTCTCACCAGAATCAGACCATGTGGGTACCCTGATCTTGGCCTGCCCAGCTTCCAGAACCGTAAGAAATAAATGTTTATTGTTTAAGCCACCCAATCTATGGTATTTTTGTTATAGAAGGCTGAACTAAGACACCTGGCTTTCTTAGGTTCACTTTCCCCAAATTATTTTCTCTCTGTCAAAGAAGAACACTTTATTATTAATCACTTATAAGTCACTAATAA